TGTTTGTGTGTCTCCAGAAACACAAAGCTGCTCTTTTTTAACCGACGAGAAGAGGACATTCTTTGGCGCGTTGAACTGGATGAACTGGCTGCTAATAACGACAGGTATAGGAGCTGTGCACCTGGGGAGTGCCTCACACTGTTGGTCGTGTTAACAACAAGCCTCTAAGGTGGTGCATGTGAACAAACGTCAGGGTGGACTCATCGGTAGAAAAGAACCCGAGGTCTAAGAAAGAAAAAGAAAATACAGAGAAAGAGAGATGATGAGGAGCAGTAACCAGTTTAGGCCAGTGGATTTTTGCATCCTGTTAAATGTCTATGTCATAAATGTGTTATGGCCAATTTAGATAGCTGGTTCAATATTTGTTTTAGCCTTTGGAGCTTCAATAAGCCGGTGTGTCAGAAAAATACCTCTTCTCAACTGAAATGAACGGCTGTGTAGACATGTTTACATGTAAAATGGCTCGTCTTCAGTTTGTTGCTGTGTGTTAGGTTTCAGGTGGAGCATGTCCTCTCTGAGCCCAGTGAGCGCTGGACCGGCTGGAGTGGTCCGGTGAACGAGCCCATACTTACTGAGCTGCTTTCCAGGCCTGATGGGTCCAAATGCTACGCGTGTGTCTGTGGCCCTGCAGCCTTCACAGAGCTAACACTCGGGTAGGTAACACAACCGCACTGCTGCTCTGACAAAGTGTTTTATTTAGAAGCCGTCCTCACGGAGATCCATGTTCTGTTCTGTTTGACTGACTGCACTGTTTCACTGGTGTGCAGTCACAGCATTTAAGAGCGCCAATACAGTCATGTGATACGTCCTAGAAGTATCATTGAAACAGGCAGCGAGCATGTTCACATAGTCTCAGATTTTTATATGATCATTAAATAATAAATGTGTTATACATTCAAAGGCCAAACTGCCTCAGCTCCTCGCTCCATTTTTCTTTTCTTTTCCAAGGACTTGATGTAATGGCACATATTTTTCCACCTGAAATCTTTGTAAAACATTCAGCTGCACGGCCTGACAACACCACACTGAGAACATTTTCCATGTGTAGCGTGAACTGACACAGCTTTGTGTTGACCTCCTTTCCTGTGTGCTCTTCTTGTAGGTTGTTGAAGCATCAGGGCTTCAGTGAGCAGCAGCTCCACGCCTTCCAGGGTTGACATGAAGGGAACATTGTGTTTCTATGCATCGAGAACTTGATGATGCTGATACGTTTGAGGTGCTCTGAGGAACATCATGTGAATAAATAGAAATATCACTGGTACTGTTTCAGATACAGTGGATCCAGAAAGTATTCATTCAGCATTTGTCACGATCCAGCCTTATTCCAAAATACATTCAGTTCATTTTTCACTTTAAAATTCTACACGTGATGCACCGTGATAGCAAAGTGAAAAACATTTGCTCATCTATCGATCTATCGTGTACATGGCCTTAATGCCTACTCCAGCTCATTTAGCTTAAAGCTGCTCTTAACCTGGTCACCTGCGCTCACTGGGCATATTTCTATTTTGATTGTGTAATTCCTGCTCACCTGAATGCTTTGAGGAGTGAACAGCCAGTGACACCTCAGCCTGAGTCCAACCTGCTGATTTTTATAAACACACTGCACCTTCAGTTCAGACAGAACCTCATCACCTGCCTCTAGTTTTTAATTCACTTTTATTCATAAAGTGTTAAAATCACAACAGCAATCCCTGCGAGGTGCTTTATATTGTAAGACAAAGACCTGCAACAATACAGAGTTCACATTGCAGGATGTTATGCCACACAGCTACGAGGGTAAAGGAAACCACACATAGAGACTGAGGCCTGTGGAAATCCATGGCTGCTTCTCCCGAAGGTTACTAACAATGAAATGAAGTATCTCTGCGTGCTAAAGAAAAGTGTTGCAACAGGAGGAGATTTTTCCAACTATCAAAAAGAAAACTAATGAATGCCAAGTGCTTCCTAGCATGGTGGCACCACCACCTGGTCACGGTGCCAGTAAAGCAGCCTTTTCCCGGGGCTTTAAAAACGTTGCTCAGGGTAAATTCAAAGGTTTGCTTTGATCATATCAAACTCATTGCTACATAATACAGGCCTCAGCAGTGCCTACCTGTGGCTGTAGCTCAGGTGGTAGAGCGGATCACCTACTAACCAGAAGACATGATACTAATCCCAGGTTGCTCTTCAATGCATCCATCGGGGTGTGAATGTTAGGTATCACTGGAAGCCTAGAAACGTGCTGGTGTGATTGGGTGAATGAACAAGTTGTGTAAAGCGCTTTGAGTGCTCAGATAGGGTAGAAAAGCGCTATAAGAACCAGTCCATTTACCTTTAGCTCCTCCCACAATAGTTGGTGCACATTGTTCCCATTGGGCTGTAGTCTCTGGATCTTCAGTTTCAAAAGGTCATAGCACTGAGCTACCAGGTGTTTCTGGGTTCTTTGCCCGTTCATAGTTATCACATTTATGCATATAGAGTGGGTTAGCTGGCATAGCCGTGTTACATCAGTTCCACGTTTCCTGTCCTTACCCGTGTAGGCAACTTCTCACCTGTCCTGTTCTGGTTTCCCAACACCTGACCTTGTTAAGCTGGGTGACGTCTAAGCCAGTAGTTGGGCTTAGCTAGCATTGGGCTCTAGCCCATGCTGCATGCTGCATGCATGTCTTGAATGGGTATAATACGGTCAGTGGATACAATTAGAAAACATCGTTTACATTACAGTTGGTAAACTTCATCAATACTTGGTCACCTAACATGACTTATCAGTCAGGGACGCACATCTACTGTTACAGTCACGCCCAAAAGTACCTCAGTACCTCCTCTGCTCCTGCCGTGTGATAACACAACCCTTGAACTGTGCAACAAAGACATTCAGGCTGCAGACAGAACAACGTGATGTGCTATGTAGCTGCAACATACATGAATCCAGCAGATTCCCTTAGTGTGCGAGCTACACCACAGCCACAGCTCTGTGTTTGTGTCATATCAGTGATGCCAGCTCACAGTCTGGGTTTAGGGGAACTGCTCTACTTTTAACATAAGGCTTCAAACTTTTGGAGGGGCAGCCTGTAGCTCGGGCTGGAACAAATAATCTTGAACTTATGGAAAAATAAATTGACACCAATCAGATTTTCTGAGGTTCATTAAAATAAATCCGGATCAATGAAGCCAGAGCAGTCTTCACACCTGCACTGATGCTGAAAAGAATAAATAACATCTCCTTCACACATGTGTGGAAACAAACACTGTGTCTGCAGCTGTATGCAAACGTTACAGTTACAGTACATAGAGGTTAAATCAGGTGAAACATTTCTAACCTTGGATTATTTTAATTCATTCACAGCACAAATGTGTGTAAAATGTATTAATAATAGCGGTGGTGAATTAACATTGGCTGTGTGGTAGCAGATGGGCATCTCACTGCACACTGTAAAGACAAATGAAAGCATTTACACCGAGTGTGGTGCTCAGCTGCCCCGTATCGCAGACATAACCTGGAAACACAGTCTGAAGAACATAACATCAGCCTCCCATCCAGACCACAGTCTGTGCTCCCTGCTTCCCTCTGGGAAGAACGAGGTTCAGGAACCTCTGATCCAGAAACGACCAGCTCAGGAACACCGTCGTCACAATTTAAACCCTAAACACGCACAAGCACACCATGCACACAACAATAACATTGTGCCAATACTGTGAATCCATGTACATGTTTACTCTGTAGGCTTCTCTTTTATTCATGTAAGTTACTCCAAACAATAATGTTATATCGTTTCCACTTCACATTAGATACCAAACTTTGTGTCTTAGTTTGAGTATTGTAGTTTCCAGTGACAATAAAACAGTCTCATCCAAAACAGTCTTAATTTTGATTACTAATCTTCATAACCTTCCCGGGATTCAGGAGATCAGGTAGTTTATTCATGAGGCTGTTATTGAGTTTAGGTTCTCATTTGCTGTGCGACACACTAATAGGTCCCTCTGACAACCCGCTCTCTAACACGACATCATGTGTTAAGAGCAAACACTACATTAACACCACTGTCAGACTAATATATTATTTGGCTGCTTTAGGCAGCAGGGGTCAGCGTCACTGCTGGTACCATGAAGTAGTTCTGACGCTGCACAGACCATCGAGAACATTATGCTGCTCGTAACATCGTGCAACAGTTTGGTCTGAGGACTCCTCTCCAGAGGGATGCACAGACCTCTGCAGGCTAAGCACCTGACTGCCATTAGATATCGAGCCTGAGCCCAACAGTGCCTGGCCTCATGTGGCGCGAGTATGCAGCCAGTTCCTGCAGCATGGGGACCATTAACTGCCCCCCATCTTTGTTTTGGTGCGTCCAACACCAGCAGATTGCACTTCAGACTGTCCGGGAGCTCGGCAATGACCATCGAGACGTCGGGGGGGGAAATGCCCCGGGACACTGTTGTCGTCTCATTAGGAGCATCCTGTCAAAGTCAAATTTATTTATGTAGCACATTTAAAACAGCAACTGTTGACCAAGGTGGTGTACATTTAAGGTAATCAAAAGATAAAAATATAGGAAGAAATGATAACATTTAAGAAAAAGAAGCATAAAAAGAGAAGATTTAAGTAAGAAATGAGACAAATAAAGGTCATACAAACTCTTTCTGATTTAAAAGCCAAGGAACAAAACTGGGTTTAAAAAGAGTCCAATGTTGGGGAGGTCCTGATGTGAAGGAGCAGTTCGTCCCACGGTTTAGGAGCAGTTACAGCAAAGGCCCGATCTCCTCTGTGCTTTAATCTGGACCTCGGCACAGGAGCGTTCGAGCCGTACACCCAGTGAGTTTGTTGGGGTGTACCAATTTAAAAGACCAGAAAGGTGTGAGGGTGCTAACCCGTGCCTTCACAAACGAATAATAAAGCAACAAAGGATCCAGCAGGTGCATCTTTCCAATCCTGGGAAATGTAGGATGCATTTGTAGGCTGTATTTGGATGAACCTCTAAATTGGGACATTCACTGCCTACAATACGAACCTAAACGATGCCACATCCAGTGTGTCCAAACACATTAGTCCAGTAGAGACATCTAGCACGGTTTTTTTGGTGTTTTTCTAAACTGATGTTTAACACTATATTAAGGATGCCTTTGCAGTGTAATTGAGATAATCCTCTCATCTCACATGATTTTGTGTTATTTATGTTAAATAACTTTTTCTCCCACTTCTTTTTGAAGTCTTATTCAGTATGTTTACCAGTTTTAAACAGTGTTTATGAACACGGGGTCGGTCGGTCATTTTAAAGCCAGCACATCCTTTATCACACAAATATATTTCATCTGAGAGAGTCAGGCTCCAACACAAAGAGATGCAAAATTATGAGAACCTAGAACTTTGTAGATAACTGCTGGAAAAAAGTTGAGCATTTGTGTTTGTGATCTGACGTATTTTCTCCAAAAGAAAATATTCAGCAACGCATCCACCAAGTGGCAGCCAGGTGTCAGAGACGAAGTGTAAAAGCTGCCAGCGCTCCGCTGACACAGTAACACAGACCTCTGAACTTCTGGCATTAACGACACAAAAACCTCCTGATTGTAGCGCAGCAACAGGAGCTTGTCGATTTGGGATTTCATAGCCGAGTAGCTCTTACAGGAGTTAATAAAGGCCCCAGTAGTTTTGTTATTAATTTCACCCCCTGCTTTAAGTTCACTTACATACAAAAGAAACGAACAGTCACAAATTTCATGGTAGTATCCAGAAAGACTTAGAAAGAAAAAACTTAAATAGATTTTCATGTCATGAGTGAAATAAATATTATATCACACCAAGCACAACATGACTTAGCACTTGATGGAAAAACGATTCTTTCGAAGCACAGTAGTAGTTGGTCACCAGGTTTGCACACATCTCAGGAAGGAGTTTGTTCCACCCTCTTTATAGAAACTCCTGTAGTTTTCTTGGCTGCTGCTAAACAACAACAAAGTTCAGTTTGTTGCCTTGGCAGTATGTTGGCAATCACTGTCAAGTTGGAAGACCACGACAATCTTCAGTATTCTTGCTGGTGGTCTTGTAGCTCGTTCCTCGTTCCTGACATTTTTTGACAGCTCTTTGGTTTTTCCAATAGTCGTAGAGAAGCTGGAGCGGAAGAATGACTCTGAAGACAGGCGGCGTGCTTTAAACACAAGTTAAGATCAGTAGTGTCTAATTGACTGACTGTAATCTGTGTCCCACATGAGCGCACAGCTGCCTCAGACTGTTGTAGGGGATCAAATCCGTATTTCACTCAGTGACATCAGGTTTGACAGCATTCCTCGTCGAGCATGAATCGATGATTAATGTATTTGCTCGCTTCAAGATTTTATAGTAGACTTAAAAATGGCTCCTCTGCAGTTTTCTGTACTTAACGGAAAGAGTGATCACAAGGAAAACAGCACGTACATGAAGTCTTCAGAACGAGGAGTTTCAGATTCTGTTTGAATGATTCAATGACTCTGCTGCTATAGATATGTAAGAGTCTGACAAATGACCGTAACAAAAAACCTTTCTCACCGCTATGGGTTTAATTATATTACTCATGTAGGACCACCAAACTGTGCAAAGAATCCAAGAAGATGGAAAATCTGATGATGAAGACAAATTGGATCTATAAGTTGAATGTGGAGCTGATTTCTTATTACGAAGTGTGGCATGTAGTTGACCTGCAAAGGCTCTGAAACAGAGGAAAAAAGATGAAGAATTGAGACTGAGGTGAGTCCCATCAAAAACACCTGCAGAGGACAACTGACGGCATGTTACGCAGTGCTACCCAGCAGCCACGCTCGGGTGCTGCTGACCAAGCCGGCCAGTGTTAGCTGAGACTTCCACCTCACACTGGGGCCATAAGGAGAACTTTTACTGCAGAATATTTAAATGTGTATTCATATTGTGGTTGTGATCAAGTATATTACTTTTATCTGCAGGCCCTGAGGTCATATCTAGATATGTAAAACAGTCAAAAAACAACAAAATAATGTTCACGAGGTTTCTTTATTTTACACGACTGTTTCCTCTGTGGAGGCAGGGATGGTAAGCCCGTCTCTGCAGGTCTTTGGTCATAAACCATTAACATGAAAAATATAACAATAGATAGTTGTTTAAATAAAAAGTAAAAGCTTCTATTGCTGACACGCTGGCATGGAATCTGCAGCATTCACAGTCTCAGCTTTCAAACGCTGTGTTAACTCCTCTGTGGAACAGCGAGCTCAGGAGGCGGCAGAACCGCTCCCTGTCGTTGCAGATGTCTCAGGATGTCCAGGATGGAGTCGAGCTCAAGGCGGAAAGCATCCATCTCCCTGCTCTTGTCCTGAGCCAGGCGTCTCCAGTGCTCCAGCTCAGACTGCAGATCATCACCTGGCGTCTGCCACGCCCCCCTAAGCACCTGAAGGACAAACAAAAGACCTCAGGTTGTATTTGATACAGCAGAACTACTTCATCTGACCTCTATGTGGATCATGTCACCAGGAGAAGTGCACAGTCTTCTCCACCACACAGCGTATATGTTCAGGTTCAGCAGTGTGTTCAACTCCGATGTCTGTATGACTGCAGAGTTTCCCAGAGTCCAGGAGACGTTTAAAGTCTTAACATAACATTCAGGTCAGCTTACATTTGCCACGAGTTCAAGTTAGTTTCATTTACGCTGACAATGTGGATCCAGAACTGCTTTTGTTTGAACGTGGTTAGTTCATCACCCACCGTGGATGTCTTTGTGTTCAAAGTTAATCACACCTGCTGATTTAAAACACCTGAATCTTGACCTTAGGGGTCACTACACATCACATCAGGTTCTGGGTTCCAGTTTCTGTCAGCTGGTTGTGTCCTCACTGGTACCTGCTGCAGCTCCTTCTCTCTGTGCTGGTGTCGGAGCTCCATGTTCAGTATCTTCCTCTCCAAGGTGCACAGGAGTTTCACCTCCGAGCTTGAAGCTTCTTTAGCTTCCTTCAGCTCCTGCAGCAGTTTGGTTA